CTTCAAAAACAGTCCGTTTTCGACTACACAAAATCAGGCTGTTTTTCCCTTTGACTGTTTTCGGTTTCCATTTTATTAGTATGATGCCAATAGAATTATAGGCCATTAAAAATCATTTATACACTTCGTAGTTACATATAAAAACGTTCATATTGATAGACATAAGTTACACATTACGTATCATCCCAAAATCAAGGTATAAACTACTCAAATCCAGCAACCTACATCTCTGCCCGGTTGTTTTCCCTCAAGTTCTTGTAATTAATTACCCCTATTTTGGCATCATAAAATCATTAAAAAAAACTCCAAAATAATCAAAAGGAAGTTCAGATTTTCAAGAAATTATAAAACCCTTAAGAAATAACGGATACAAACCTCAAAATTGTGAAGTAACGAAACTGTCTAGAAATTCCAACTTCTTGTGTTCTTATCCCTTTTTGCTTCCTTTGCTTTCACGTCCACTTGGGGTCACTTGGGGTTATCTTAGAAGAGTCATATATCTTATTTAGGAGCTATTTAAGGAGTCTTAAGGATTGGGGTCGTGAGTGATACTTAAAGGTGAAGGAATTTGTGATTACAAGACAAGTATTCCCCAATCATGAGGTGTTCGTGAAAAGTCCCCTAGCATGAGCTGTCCAAGTAGGAGGTGGCTTCTTGCAGCCAACTTTGACTTCTCCCTTGCACCACATGGAGCCATGTGTGACTTATAAGAGTTATAAATATCTTGTGTAAAGTTCTAAGGACTTATAGGACGTGTTGGAGGCTTAAGGTTGAAGGAATTAGAGGTTAAAGTGACAAGTCGTCACATGTTAAGTATGTATTGTCTCCTCTGATTAAATTCTGACTTCCTACTTATCCTTGGGGGGTTTTATGAAATTTAGGGATAACATATCACATATAAGAAGTCTTAAAGGAGAGCCAATTCCTTAACTGTTCATTTGATTACTTACCTGATTAACACCCGATTCTCTACCGATTTCAACAATTCGCACCTCCTTATTTATAACATCATATAAGACATATATCATTACGTCGTGATCATGTCACTTCATGCCTTATGTCCCAAATATGTCAATTACCTATCTAGAGTTTAAAGTGACCTCGATCAGTCGAATGGAAATCTTAAACCTTCATCGATACTAATTTTCGGCCTTTTCGATATTACATTAATTACCAAGCCAATCTCCAACATTTAGTTAACCTAATTTTCTATCATAGCTCAATATAAAATTCACCACCTAGATCGAGGAGTCGAAGGTTATCACCATGTAAAAAATTATAAAGCCTTAATGATCGAATATACCGTTTTAAGAGAAAGCAATTAGAAAATTAATGCAAATGACAATGTAATTAGCATGAAATATATGAATCATATTAGCCAAAAGTATAACGAGAAGTTTGGGGTATTACATATTCTATGAACATTCTTTGTGAATAAATTATGATTGAAAGTAGATATGTGTCATAGGAATAAATTTACAAATCACCGTTTATAAAAAATATATTAGTGATTTAAAATTTTGCTGTCTCTTTAAAAAAAATTCAGATTCTGCCTCATTTTTAAAAATTCATAACTCTTTTGTTACTTGGCATTTTTATACAAAACTAGTGGTGTTGGATAGCCTCATAAGTTAGCTATTGAAAGAACTTAGTATCATGTCAATCCGATGTCGGTAGAATCTTATATGTTGCATAAAGTAAACTGCACTAGGTAGAGTCACCGTTTTTCCAGCTTTTGCTTTAACTTCAAAAATTCATAACTCGATCGTTACTTGGAATTTTTAGATGAAACCAATTGGATTTGATAGTCCCTTGGATTAAGAATAAATTTGAAATCATGTAGTTTTGATGTTTGTGAAATTTTATATGTCATTTTAAGTGAACTGCACCGGTTTACCTTTCAAGCGGGTCGCTGCTGGGTTTTAAAAAAATATTTTAATACTTCCTATGATGTCGATAGAAGCTAATTTTTGACTATGTCATATTATAAGGAGTTTCCTACTTTAGATTAAAATTTGATGAAGTTTCAAGGTCGATAGCTATGTAAACGAATTTATTTTGATAATTACCGTTTGAGATAAAAACTGAAACAATAGTATTACTTTTAAAGTTTTACAAAGTTTCATGTCAAAAGTGGTTACATGCATATACGGTATGTTGTAAATACGGTATGATGCAAATGCTATATGTTGAAAATACGCTATGTTGCATATGTGGTATGCATTAACCCAACATGTAAAGTGTATATACGGTATGAATGAATTCGTTGTTTTTTTTTTTTTGTAATTTTTTTCTTTTAGTATTAAATAATTTTTTTTAATTCTTTGTAGCTTCATAACTCGACCGTTACTTGGAATTTTTAGATGAAACCATTTGGATTTGATAGTCTCGTGGATTAAGAATAAATTTGAAATCATGTAGTTTTGATGTTTGTGAAATTTTATGTCATTTTAAGTGAACTGCACCGGTTTACCTTTCAAGCGGGTCGCTGCTGGGTTTTAAAAAAATATTTTAATACTTCCTATGATGTCGATAGAAGCTAATTTTTTACTATGTCATATTATAAGAGTTTCCTACTTTAGATTAAAATTTGATGAAGTTTCAAAGTCGATAGCTATGTAAACGAATTTATTTTGATAATTACCGTTTGAGATAAAAACTAAAACAACAGTATTACTTTTAAAGTTTTACAAAATATCATGTCAAAAGTGGTTACATACATATACGGTATGTTGTAAATACGGTATGATACAAATACTATATGCTGAAAATACGCTATGTTGCATATACAGTATGCGTTAATCCAACATGTAAAGTGTATATACGGTATGAATGAATTCGTTGTTTTTTTTTGTAATTTTTTTCTTTTAGTATTAAATAGTTTTTTTTAATTCTTTGTACCTTCCACTAAAAACAATTTCAACAAATTTATGGCTAAAGTACAGTTAATCTAGTGACGTTTGATCCATTCGGGTCGAGGCATTACAGCGTGGTATCAGAGCCAGGTTTAATCAATTCTATAAACTTAGTGTATTTTATTTATGAAATGAGAAAAATGAAATATTTAAGGCATTCCATGGCATCTTGCATCCATCAGTTGACCTTATCTGACGAATCCAAGGTATGGAATAAAATATTATGTTCCACTTTATTTTTCGAGCATGATTTATAAATCATTTAAGTTTGAATATATGAAAATGCTTTTGATGTTTAGAATGAAATATGTTATGTAAGTTATATTTTGTTTAAATATACATGAAGAAATGATAATTGCTCATTATATTAAAACCTCAGGAGCATAATGTGTAAGTTGATGTCACTAACAAAGATAAAACATAATTGGACACTTATGTGATAGACATGGTTAGGACTTATCAAACTACTAGGAAGGCCACAGCTTGTAGAGCAGCATTGAACCGTAGGTCCATCATTCTGTCCTATGAGAACTATGTGACTGACCCGTCTCGTCCACTTGTTGAACACGTACATGACATCTACGAAAGATATATGGCAGCTGTAGATTCAGGATTGAAGATCACGCATATCGAGGCTATGAATAACCTCATATGTTCACTCCCACCCCAATGGGGAAACATGAGAGTCATGGTTAGGGATGAGATACTAGTAGGTAACCCTCTAGAGAATCCAAGTACGATTGAATTTGGTATATATTGTTAGATCCTTCTAGACAGGTGGAGTGAGAGCTTAGAACCTCAACCAGAGATAGTAATTGAGCCCAATGATGAGGTTGAACCCAAGCCCGAGCCTCAGTTTGAATCAAACACCAAGGAAGATCCCGAATGGGAGCATGATGATGACTTTGGTTTGGAATTAGAGAACGATCATGAGCATGAAATTGAACTACAGGTTAAGGCGGATCAAGAGTCAGTACCTGAGGCAGAAGACTCCTCTGAAAATGAAGCTCCACCAAAGAAGATTCGCAAGATTCATAGGGATTAGAAATTTAGATTCCATTTCCTTGTGATATCTTTTCCTTTATGTTATTAGAAGTAAAAAGTTATCGAACTATTGTATATCCTGATTTCAAGGAATACTGAATAAAAAAAAACAATTTTGATCAAGTTGAGATTTTTATTATTATTTCTGGTATTAGAAAATGAAGTTAATGTAAGATATTATATCTTATCTCTAGAGAAATGTCTCGAGCAAACTAGAATAATTTGATAAGGGATCTCCTACAAGGCTCAAGATCTTAGCAAGCTGAATCAGAATCTAGCTCCACCTACACCACCAGCTCCTATTACTCTCCCGACTCATGCCTTGATGGTTGAGTTATTTGGAAGGCATAAGCTCTTTTTCTTCGATGGAGCATATGGTCCACTAGTAATTGAAGAGTGACTTCATAAGTTAGAGCGAATTTTTCGATTCATCGATTGCACTGACGCCCAAAAGGTCCGGTGTGCGGAGTTTATGTTTACCGATGATGCAAGTTATTGGTGGGATTCGATGTCCCAAACTAGGACTTCGGAACAGCAATTTCATTAACTTGGGAACAATTCAAGGGAAAGTGATGGACAAATATTTTCCTCAGTCTCTAAAGGATTTCAAGGAGAAAAAGTTCCTTCAGCTCAAGCAGGGTAATATGTCCCTGACTGATTATAAATGAAAATTTGACCAACTCTCAAAGCATGCTCCACACCTGGTGGACATGGAAATTAAGAAGACTTGAAGGTTTGAGCAAGGGTTAAACCCAGACCTAAGCATGATTCTTATGTTATATCGTTTCACATCATACCGCGAGATGCTGGAACAAGCTCACGCTATTTGGTATCAGAAGGAAAATCCATAGCAATACCATCAATTGTGCAACTAGCTGGACAAAGGATAGGTTGGAAAGAGAAAATGGAATGGTCAAGATAAAGGAAAAGCTAAATGGAAAAATAAGAAGGCTAATACTAGACCTAGTGCTAGTAAGGACATAGTAGCTACAGTAGCGCCATGTCCTAAGTGTGGTAACCCTCATCGTGGAAAATGCTTGTATGGGACATATTGCTAAGGATTGTGTCACATTTGCTCAGAAGAAGGATGATAACAATGATCAAAACAAGAAGGGAAAAGCACGAGTGTTTACAATAACTCAGAAGGATGCAAAGGAGAACTCAAATGTGATATCAAGTATATTACTAATATCTGATACACCTGCTTATGTACTCTTTGATTCAAGAGCTACTCATTATTTTGTATTAACATCTTTCATTGCAAAATCTAGTATTAATTGTGATAAGTCAAAGAGTACACTAGAAGTTAGCATTCCCTCAGGCAGAACACTGAATACAGATCAGTTCGCTAGGTCGGTAAATCTTAAAATTGAGGAAAAAACATTTGAAGCAAATTTGTATGTGATAGAGATGAAAGACTTTGATGTGATTTTGGGAATGGATGGGTTAGGATATAATTATGCAACCATTTGTTTTAGAGAAAGAAAAGTGTCTTTTCAGAAACCAGGAGAGGAATAATTTTCGTTCCCTGGAATAAAGACCAAACCCCACCTCCAATTAGTATCGGCCTTACAAGTCAAGAAAATGTTGAGAGAGGAAATATCTCAAGGATTTCTAGTTAATATCTCTAGAGAAAAATTGACAACGATAAAGATTGAGGACGTACCAGTGGTACAAGAATTTATAAATGTGTTTCCAGAAGATCTACTTGATATTTCACCAGATAGACAAGTGGGATTCACAATAGATTTGGTTCATGGAGCTGTACCAGTACCTAAAGCTCTATACAGAATCGCCCCAAAAGAACTTCAGGAGTTGAAAATCTAGTTACAAGAACTGTTAGACATTGGCTTTATTCGACCAAGTGTATCACCATGGGGCACACCAGTATTGTTTGTAAAAAAGAAAGATGGAAGTATGTGGATGTGTATCGACTATCAGGAATTGAACAGTTTGACCATCAAGAATAGGTATCCTCTCTCGAGAATCGAGGATTTATTTGATCAATTGAACGGGGCTAAGGTAATTTTTAAGATCGATTTATGATCTGGATATCATCAATTGAAGGTTAAGGAAAGTAACCTGAGGCAGATTTCAGAACTCGTTATGGACATTACGAGTTCACAGTTATGCCATTTAGATTGACAGTGTTTATGGATCTGATAAATAGAGTATTTCATCAGTATTTGGATAAATTTGTTATAGTATTCATTGATGACATTCTGATTTACTCCAAGAGTAAAGATCAACACAAAAAAAAAATCTTAGAATAGCGTTAAAAACATTGCGTAAGGAAAAGTTATACGCCAAATTTAAAAAGTATGAATTTTGGCTTGAATGAGTTGGATTCCTCGGTCATGTAGTTATTACCCAAGGAATTGAAGTAGCTCTGGTAAAGGTGGAAGCGGAAACTAATTGGAAGACCCGACTAATGCTGGTGAAGTTCAAAGTTTTCTGGGATTGGCTGGATACTATAGCAGATTAGTAGAAGGATTCGTCAAAATAGCTGGACCAATGACACAATTGACAAGGAAAGGAGTAAAGTTTCAACGGACAGATAAGTGTGAGCAAAATTTTCAGGAGCTAAAACAACGATTGATTACAGCACCTGTATTAACCATGCCTGAAGGTTCAAAAGGATTTGTTATATATAGTGAGACATCCAAACAAGGTTTGGGATGTGTATTGATGCAGTATGAAAAAGTAATTGCCTATACATCAAGACAATTGAAGCAACATGAGCAGAACTACCAACACATGATCTAGAACTTGCAGCGGTGGTACATGCATTAAAAATATGGCGCCATTACTTATATGGAGGGAAGTGTGACATTTACACGGATTATAAGTCTCAAATATTTCTTTACACAGAAGGAATTGAATATGACACAGAGACGATGATTGGAGCTAGTAAATGATTATGATTGCACTATTCATTAACATAGGCTAATGTTGTTGCTAATACTCTAAGCAAAGAGTCAATGGGACAGTTGGCATCATTACCTACTATTCCGATGGAGTTGATCGAAGACTTCGAAAATTTGTGAATCAAAGTGATTATCACACCAGAGCAAGTCATTGCTCATTTGGCAACTTTGATTGTTCGACCCACTCTTAGAGATTGGATCATAGAAGCACAAGATAAAGACCCATTTTTGCAAAAGACAGAGAACGAGATTGGCACTGATAAGAGAAAGGATTTAGAAATAGCTTCTGATCAGGCACTAATGTTTAAAGAAAGAATTTGTATACCTAAGGATGAAGTTTTGAGGAAGGAAATATTAGAGGAGGCTCATTCCACCCCGTACACCGCACATCCTAATGGTACGAAAATATATCGAGACTTTTAAGATACATTTTGGTGGAGGAACATGAAAGGAAGTATAGGCTCATTTGTGGCAAAATGCATAGTGTGCCAACAAGTTAAAGCAGAATATCAAAGACCAATAGGGTTATTAAATCCATTGGACATACCTAAATGGAAGTGGGAAAATATCGCAATGGACTTTAGGGTAGGATTTCCAAAGTCAGCAAAAGGACACAATGCTATGTGGATAATAGTGGATCGTTTAACAAAATTTGCTCAATTGTACATTAGAGAGATTATAAGATTGCATGGTGTCCCTGTGTCCATTATATCTGATAGAGATCCGAAATTTACGTCAAGAGCTTACAAGAAGCTATGGAAATGAAATTGAATTTCAGTACGGCGTATCACCCTCAATCTGATGGTCAATCTGAAAGGACCATTCAAATTTTGGAAGATACGTTAAGAGCCTGTGTTCTGGATCTAGGAGCAAGTTGGGAATCGTATCTACCTTTAGGGTCCGTTTGATTGCAAAGATGGAATTGAATTGAATTGAAAACGAATTACAAGGAATTGAATTGTCTAGAAATTATTTTTATGGGAATTATAAATTATTGTGTTTGATTGGTATAAATTTCCACGTGGAAAATGTTGAAATAAAAGTTTTTTTGATGTTCGTTGGACTTTATTTTACATGAAAATTGTCAATTAAAGGAATAAAATTTACTGGTATTGGAGATGAAATTTGTTTCCATTGCTAAAAAAAACAAAAAAAATAAAAAATTCAAGAAAATCATCTATCTTTTGGTGTTCATTTAGCTTTGTTTTGTATGAAAATTGTCAATTAAAAGAAAATATTTTTTTTACAATAATTCTTAGAATTTTTTAACTTTGCCAACGAAAAAAAAAAAGGAAAAAAAATACATATATGCTATAGTAACAGAGAAAATATTGGTAGGAATTGATTTTCCCTAAAAAGCTAGAAAAGTCCAAAATCCAAGAAAACATGGAACTTGAATTCCATGGCAAAAAACACCATATCAAACTCTTGAAAGTGGGAAAATGGAATCCAATTTCCATTTTCCATGGAAAATATTTGCCAATCAAACATGGCCTTAGTGAAATTTGCATTTAATAATAGTTTCCAATCAACTATTGGAATGACACCTTATGAAACTCTCTATGGTAGAAGGTGTAAATCACCTGTTCATTGGGATGAAGTTGGAGAAAAGAGAGTTTTGGGACCATAGATCATTGAAAGGACAATTGAAGCTATTAGTAAGATCCGTATCGGGATAAAGGCCGCGAAGATAGACAAAAGAGCTATACAAATACCAGAAGAAAAGACTTAGAATTTGAGGTTGAAGAGAAAGTTTTTCTAAAAGTGACACCAATAAAGGGTATACTTAGGTTTGACAAGAAAAGCAATTCTTCGACCTCGTTATATCAGACCTTTTGAAATACTTGATAGGGTTGGGAATGTGGCTTATCGACTGGCTTTGCCGCCTGAACTATCAGCCGTTCACAATGTGTTTCATATATTGATGATCAGGAAGTATGTGCATGATCCTAATCACGAGGTAAATTATCAACCCCTGGAAGTACAGAAAGATTTATCTTATGAGGAATTACCGATTAAAATACTGGATTGAAAGGAACATAAATTACAGAACAAGGATATTCAACTGGTCAAAGTGCAATGGAATAATCATAGATTAGAATAATCTACTTGGGAAAGAGAAGAAGAAGTCAAAGAAAAATATCTGACACTCTTTGCCAATCCATAAGGTAAATTTCGAGGATGAAATTTATTTAATGTGTAAGGGATATAGAAGCCCGAGAAATAAAATGAAATTAGACTATTATGTTGTGATGATCTAGCACCACGAGCCTAGCTTATTCAAAAAACGAGTTATGGAAGCTGAAACCATTTAAGATTTTGAAAGCTCAAGCCATAAGTTAATTAAAAGCCCAACAAATTAAGAGATTAAGTTTAAGTAATTTTGATTACAAAGATTTAACGAATAACTGGGTTGCCATAATAGTCATCTATATGATATTTCATATAGGCAACCCAGGTTTGAATCACCATATAGATGTTTTTATAAAACTTTTTATGAATTATTTTTTAGGCTTAAAAACTTTTCAAATTCTTAGATAAAGATCCAATTTAACAAACTTAATGATAATACAACCCCTCCCCCCCCCCCCCCCCCCCAGCTTTTTTTTTTAAAAAAAAAAAAACAAAAAAAAAAAGAGACATATTCCTGCTATTAATACCAAAAAAAAACACCCCCCCCCCCCCCCCCCCCAAATTCGGTTTTTCATTAAAAAGAAAGATTACAAGAAATGGAAGGTCACTTTTTCACTATACCCCTCCTCAAATCCGAACTTTCTCTTATTTTATCTCAAAAATATATATTTTATGTCTATTTAAGCTAAGGGAATAACAAGGGCAAGAAGAAGAAATGCTTTCTACACATTTTGTTCTTTGATATCCAAGAAAATCCAAGGTAGGTAGAAGTACATGTATTTATTTCGTTTTCAAATTATTTTTTCGATAAATGTTTGAATGAAATAGTACCTTTGGGTACGGTACTTCAACACTACAATAGTTTCAATGATTATTCTCCGGCTTTACGCTTGTGATAATGCTATGGTAATTGAATTTTGTCGAAAATCGATCTACATGCGATAGTGTGAATCTATAGTTCGAAATTTTTAATTTGATAACGAAATGCACCAATGATATCTATTGAGTTTTAAACTCATGGGCTAATTCTCTTTCTACAGATTAATTCGACTTGCTTGGCCGGTGATTTAATATCTTTATGTGATTATGAAATGTTTACGTTTTTTCTTTAAATTAGATTCCTATGGATGTCGTGTGTGGATCTATTCTATGAACATTCTTTGTGAATAAATTATGTTTGAAAGTATATATTTGTCATAAGAATAAATTTACAAATCACCGTTTACAAAAAATATGTTAGCGATTTAAAATTTTACTGTCCCTTTAAAAAAAATTCAGATTCTGCGTCATCTTTAAAAATTCATAACTCCTTCGTTACTTAATATTTTTACACAAAATCAGTGATGTTGGATGGCCTCATAATATATATATTGAATAAACTTAGAATCATATCAATCCGATGTCGGTAGAATTTTATATGTTGCATAAAGTAAACTGCACTAGGTAGAGTCGCCATTT